CCTCATTTTTATTTTATTTTTTTAAAAGTATATTATTTTTAAATAAAAAATGAATCATTTTGTCTAACTAATAAATTTTGTCTTTTAAGATAATATATTTTTTAATTATAAATTAATGTACAAAAAAATATTATAATCACCTAATGTTATTAAAGGTAAAAAAACAAAATTGAAATTTATTAGATAATTATTAATTAAAAAATGTGACCACAAATTAAAAAATTAAAATGGATAAATTTGTAAATAAAATTAAAAAATTTTAATCCATTAGCAGTTTGGTATAAAAAGCTACATAAACTAATTTTTTCAATTCGCTAGTGATTTGAACTCTAACTGCTATCTGCTAATTTCAAACCGCTAAATAAAAATTTTACCAAACACTTTATTTATAGCGGTTTCAAAATATATAAATTTACCAAACACCTATATTTAGCGATTTAGCTAAAACCGTTAACCGCTAACCGCTACCCAAAACCGTTATACCAAACGGAGCCTAACTTTAATTTATAGTTTTATATCCAATAAATCATAACCAAGACACAATTTATTACAAATAAAAAAAAGATATCTAATCATCAATATATAATGATATATAAAAAAGAAAAAGATAAAAACACAATTTATAATTTTCTATAGATTTAAAAAGTTGTGTTCTATAGAAGATACATAATGATCGGGCAAGAAATGACTAAAAATTAATAATATAGTGGGAGAATGAAATAAGAAAGATTAATAATAAATAAATTATTCAAATCGAAAGAGATAATGAGGGCGGATATAAGTAAATAAATAAAATAAGAAATTATATGATGATAAATTAAGAGATAATTTCGTCTAAAAATTAATAAAATGTAGAGTATAAGTAAATGAAATAATATCAAGAGAATGGTGTTAATAATTAGGTATGTTTTTTATGTTTTAATTTAAATCCTTTCAAAATAGGCATTTGGGAGAGAGGACATAGACTAGGATAAAAACAACATATGCAACGGTAATACGTACTTATAGATAGAAGTTAATATATGTTTGTAATAAATTAATATATGGTTAAAATGATTCTTATATTTATTAATTAAGAATTAATTTTAATTATGATTAATATTATTATATTTAATAAAAAATATATAATACAATTTGAAAGGTTTTGAAATTCACTTACTCTAAGTGTTAAATTAAAAAGTAAACTTCCTATTATTAGAAGCTATATTGATTTAATAATTTTTACTATAAAACAAAAATTTCACTTAACAATAAAAAAATATATTAAAAATAAACTACACTAAATAGATTTTTCTTTTTATGTTGGTTGTACAATAAAGAATAATTTTTATCATTTTTATTTCATTTCATCTGTATATCATATGACTTGAATTTAATATTTTTTATTTTTAATAAAAAATTATCATTAAATTATTTAAATAATTGATATATATATATATATGACGGATTTTAGAGTCGAGATATATAAAAAATGATTGAAGAAATTAACAAAATGCAAGTTTTGGCGCCTCTGTTTTGATTGTAGTTTTTACTAATTTTTTAAAATTACACTCTCTTTCTAAATGCTCTCTCTCTAAAAAAAAAAAAAACTGAAACCAACCAGACCAGCCGCAGCGTAGCAACAAACAACAAACACTCCCACTCTATTTAAATCAATTCCCATTTCGTTTTCTCAATCTCAAGCCCCCCCCTCCATTTCCAATTCAACTTTTTTGAATCTCATTAGGGTTTCGCTTCCAAACCCAATTTCAGACTTCATCTTTGTTGTGTTATGGATCCAGAAGCAGCCGAGTCGGTAACCAGGGACTCACGTCTGGTAATGTTTTCGTTTCTCATTCTGGATTGTCTTCCCATTCAGTTTTTGTTCTTGTTCAGTGTCGTTTGATTTGTTGTTGTAGTTGTTTTCCGTCTTACTGAATTTTTTTTGGGGGTTTTTTTGTTTGGTAAGAAAGTGCAGCAGGAGTCGTCCTTGAGGGGACGGCTTAGTGGTTAAGAGCTTCAGTCTCCATGTTGGAGATCTCAAGTTCAAATCTGGGATGGATGGGTGAGAAGGGGCTTGGGAAGGGGAGGCTATTCCTGTTGTATGGCCAAATCATCTGATGTACCAAAAAAAAAAATAATAATAAAGAGCAGCAGAAGGACTAAGATTTTTAATTCTAGTAGTTGCTAATTATGTTCTTTCTCTGAACCTAATTTATTCACAATTTTGTGTTCCATTTGGCTGTTCGGCTGTTTTTATCAGATTACATGAGGCGTTTTCATTTTACTGCGTTTGAGAATTCTGCAGAGAAAAAAATTGTGGCATGAATTGTATAAACTCCAACCTGTGGGTGTTTGTGTTACTTGCAGAAATTTTACAAGACTACACTATGCCTTGCATTCCAGAGTTTTGGTGTTGTATTTGGTGATTTGAGCACCTCACCCATTTATGTCTACCAAAGCACATTCTCGGGGAGGTTGAGGCTTCATGAGGAAGATGATGAAATTTTTGGGGTGCTGTCTTTGGTTATCTGGACTCTGACTCTGATTCCTCTGTGCAAGTACATTATATTTGTATTAGGAGCAGATGATAACGGTGAAGGTGCTCCCAAAGACCTGCATATTGATGACATCTTTATCAAAAAACTGTTTTACAGTCTGGACTGTAAAACAGCAGACTTTATCTTTATAACCTTGTACATTGAAAGAAATTTACCTGCACTCTGTTTGGATTTCTGACGAAGCCTTGTTCCTGCAGGTGGCACCTTTGCTTTGTATTCTCTACTTTGCCGGCGTGTAAAAGTGAGTCTCTTGAGTGCTTCTCATGTGCCAGATGATGATATATCTACTTATGACACTGGACAATCTAGGAAAGAAACCAGGGCTAGTTCTCTTCTAAAGGAGCTTTTTGATAAGCATCATAGTTCACGGGTTGTGTTGCTTCTTGTTGTGCTCCTAGGAACTAGCATGGTTATTGGGGATGGAGTGCTAACCCCATCAATGTCAGGTACTGTTTTCATCATAGATGATATAGTTTGCCTTTAATCTTTTAAGAAACAGATAGCTAAGGGAGTAGGATGATACCGATCAGGATCACTATTTTGTTCAGTTTATAGATTGGGTATAATTGCTACTGGAAGAAAAGTTTTCTTGGCTTTCTATGTCAATTAATGAGGATTATTTGCTCTTCAGTCCTCTCTGCAGTTAATGGCATCAAAATCAAGGCTACAGGTCTACATGAGAGTAAGTTACATTTTTCATAATTTCTTTTAAATGGAACCTTAGAAGCTAAGTTCATTTTTTACCCAATATTATTAGTGGCTCTTTCTTAACTAGCTTCTTTCTTGCAGATTATACTCTGTTTGTTGCTTGTATGATTTTGATGGGGCTGTTTGCCCTGCAGCATTTTGGGACACATAGGGTTGGCTTTCTTTTTGCCCCTATTTTGGTGGCTTGGCTCTTATGCATTACTAGTGTTGGTATTTACAACATAATACACTGGAATCGAGGTGTGGTGAGTGCCTGGTCACCATACTATGTGTATAATTTTTTCAAAAAGGCTGGAAAAGATGGATGGAGCTCTCTTGGAGGCATTCTTCTTTGTATTACAGGTTCATTGGTTTTTCCTTTCATTAAGCTATTTCATTTAATTTCCTTTACATTTTTATCAAAATGCCACAATCTTGTTTTTTTTTTTTTCCTTCATTTATCAGGTGCAGAGGCCATGTTTGCAGACCTTGGACATTTTTCCCAGCTTTCTATTAGGGTAAGTTCTAGACCTAAAAGTACATGTTCGAATAGTTTGTAAACGTTAATGGAAGTCATCAAATGGCTGCCACCAACCTATTGTTGCCTCTTCTGCTTATTTTTTAAACATACAAGTCTTCTATGGATATTCCCAGTAGACCAACAGAAAAGAAACACAAAGCATCCTTTCTTTTTGTTAGTTGGGTGGTCCAAATTAACTCTCTTTCCTATTTCAAATGAAGAAGCATGACTTTCACTGGTCCAATATCTTGTTTTCTTCTGACATAATATTTTTGTAGTACAGTTGGCATTTACCATTGTTGTTTATCCCTGCTTAATTTTGGCGTATATGGGTGAGGCTGCCTACCTCTCCAAGCACAAAGAAGACCTTCATAGAAGCTTCTACAAAGCCATTCCTGGTAAATCAAATGAATGGATTCTGTATTTAGTTGCAGAGCACTTCATGGAGTTGCTTTAAAGAATAAATAGTGACTTTTGTATCTTTTTTTTTGGAGCCATGGAAACAAATATGTGATCTATCTAATATACTTTTCAAAGGGAATTATAAATTTTAGTAGGTATGCCTCCTGGTTTCAGGGTGGCCTTGATTCTTTAACTGTAACTTCTTACCTCTGGATGACTGAATGACAGTAACATGCCCCTTGAGGTTTGTTCTCAGAAAATGTTCCTTTTCTTTGTGCAGAGGCTGTTTTTTGGCCAGTGTTCATTATTGCGACATTGGCAACAATAGTTGGCAGTCAAGCAATTATTTCTGCCACTTTCTCTGTCATCAGCCAGTGTAGGGCATTGAAATGCTTCCCTCGTGTGAAGGTAATACACACATCAAACCAAATACATGGACAGATCTACATACCGGAGGTGAACTGGATCTTGATGGTTTTATGCATTGTTGTTGTGATTGGCTATGGGAATACTGACATGATAGGCAATGCATATGGTACAAGTTTCGAGTTCAAACTACTCTGCCTCCCTCCCACCCTCTCTCATTCACTTTTGACCTGGTTGTTTTACTTTCTTTCAGGTCTTGCTGTGATCACCGTAATGTTGGTAACAACCTGCCTGATGTTTCTGGTTATTGTTATGGTTTGGAAGAGGAACACTCTATCAGCTGTTGCTTTTGTTATTGTTTTTGGATCCCTGGAGCTGTTATACTTTTCTGCATGCATTATCAAGGTTCAACAAGGAGGCTGGTTGCCTATCCTTGTCTGCCTGGTAGTTCTGGCTGTTATGGGTATCTGGCACTATGGAACTTTAAAGAAACACTCCTATGAGCTGCACAACAGGGTGGACCTAGAGACACTTCTAAGCCTGAGCACAAACCTTGGAATATATCGTGTCCCTGGCATTGGCTTAATCTACTCAAATGTGGCCTCAGGTGTCCCACCAATGTTTGCCCACTTGGTTACCAACTTCCCTGCCTTCCACAAAATCCTTATATTTGTTACCCTTCAATATCTCACAGTTCCTAAAGTTCCTGCCAAACAGCAAATTCTAGTTAGCCGCATTGGCCCATCAGAGTTCTGCCTCTTCCATTGTGTTGTTAGGTATGGTTACAAGGATGCAAGGAAGGATTCTCATGCTTTTGAGAGTCATCTTATTGAAAGTATAGCAGAGTATTTGCAGCGTGGTGGTCAAGATTATGAAGTTGGAGGCTCAAAAGACAAATTGGCCCTTAATCATTGGCAATCTAACCCAGTAATGGATGTTGTACCTTTGAGACTAGAAAATGAAGTTGGTGCTGCAGCCTGCAAGAAAAAAGTGAGATTTCGTGGTGTGGGATGTAGTAAGCAATTGCTAGAGCTGATAGAGGCAAGGGAATCTGGTCTGGCATATATGATGGGTAGCACTTGTGTTTTGGCCTGTGAATCATCTTCCTTTTTGAAGAAGTTTGTAATCAACATTGTCTATGGATTCTTGAGACGAAACTGTAGGCATCCAGCAACAGCTCTTGGAGTTCCGCACACGTCACTAATTGAAGTAGGAATGGTTTATCGAGTGTAGATACTGAAACAAGGTCATGACTCTGTCCTCAACACTAGTGTAAACCGATGCAAACAAAGTTACAGAATCAGATTGATTGCATTTAATCCTGTTGATAGGTTTGAAGATCTTAGGTTTTGCATATCTTGCAGTTTTTCTTTTAGGAATACTTAGAAACACGTACCTACCTTTCCACAGTTTTCTTTGTGCAAAAAGATTTGTTATCTTGGTCACCGTCACACCATATGCTTCTGTTACTTCATTTGTAGAACTTAGATTATCTGATTTAATTGCTGGAAACAATGGTGAGTAGGTTCTGCTCTGAAAATTGCGTCGACACAAATCGAGCTTCAGAAACACTCAGCTTCTTCATATATCTTATTGTTTCATGTTACAACAAAAAAATATACCAACCCAAAATTCGCCAGACAGGATTTTTATATAATTACAGACCTTGCTTTCACACAAATATAAGCAACAAAAAGAAGAAAAAGAAAAGAATCAATCAAGGGGAAGATTCATCTTGAGTTTTTCAACTTGAATTCCGAGATGGGTCTGTCTTAGACGTTGTTCAAGTTCCCTGGCTTGACGTATGGAGGCGGCGGAGGGGAGGGAAAGGAGGTGGCACCAGGTGGCGGAGTAGGCATCCCAAATACCTGCGGATTTGTAAAAACATCTCGTCTACCTCTTGCTCTTCCCAAGAAATAGCAGCCAACGCCGAGAAGTATGCAGAAGAGAATCAGAGGCAGAGAGATCACCACTACCATACCCATCTTCACTTGGCTGAAAATCTGAAACCTCAAAACTGAATATTAGTTTCTCGCTGTTGGAGAGGATACAGGGATGTGTCTCTCTATATAACTGGAATTTGAAACACAAAGCCGAATATTAGTCTCTTGCAGTTGGAGAGGAAACAGGGATGTGTCTATATATATAAGAGGTGGAGTTCAGAAGATTTGGCCTTGAAGGATTAAGATGCTACCCAGAAGGGCCTACCTTTCTCTTTTAAAAACAAAAATAAAAAATAATAATAATAAAAAAGATGGCAGCTAACGGTCTTCTTAACGTTAAAGCTTCCAACGGTCACTTTTACTGGTGGCGTTTCCAGAGGAGAAAGTACTAAGATGAGCTGTCTTCGTTGCTTAGGAATAAGAAAGCACTAAGGTTTAAGCTATCGCATTGCATGCCAGATCGCACATTCTGATTCTCAAAGAGAAAGTTACGATCTTTATCAAATCAGAAGAAGAAGAAGAGAGGTTTGATGCTTATTCAAAGCCTCCACCAGTCCTCTTAATTATTGTTTCTTTTGTTTTTTCTGGTAAAAAAAAAAAGAGAGGAAATTTAACAACCTATTTGGATAT